GCCGTGTTGTCGGACTTTTCTGGTGGAAATGGGAGAACAAGATTGAACAATTTCGTTTTACGGGTTGTCGTGTTATGGCAGTCCGGTTGGTGGTTCGGGTTCCGGGTTGCTGAGCTGAGCAGAAAAGTGAAATTAAGGCCGGACACTTCGACGCTTCCGGGTCAATTGTCCATGACTAAGTTGAAGTCGGTGGTAGATGATGACATACGGGTCATGAACTGATTGTACGCGCGATGGGCGCCATGGAGAGGAAATGCCTCTCTAGTAGCCAAACCATTGTGACCCAAGGCGCGACGCGGCGCAGATTGGCCGAGTTGCAGGTTCATGGAGCTCCGTCCCGCTTCCGGGTCCCCGTAGCCTGTAGGCCGTTCGGCGTAGGGTCGGGCAGGCAAGACTCGAGCGGCATTGGGCAATTGGGTTGTTGTTGGAGGAGAGTTGCGGTAAATCGGTCCATGGTCGTGGTGTGTGGTGCATGTGCAGATGCATGGTATTCAAGTTCGAACACTGGTCAATCTTGTTCCCCGAGCCTAGCACTCCCATCCCTTGAGGGGTCGGGTTGTCGTGGAGAGGGAGGGAAGGGTGACAGGGTCCATAGTGGCATGGTGAGATAGCCAGAGATCTGATGTAAGTACCGGGTACTTATGGCTCTCCCACTTCAAGTAGCGTAGTGTGTAAAACGAATGAAAGTCTTGGCCAATTGAGATCTTCCGCCCGTTCTCTGCGCCGCCCCGATATGAACGGACGTCTCCTGGTTGTTTGCAGTATTCGTAGAGGACGGTTTATCAAGACGAATGGCAATACAGGCCAGTTGCAGACGTCGAAGGCGCGACAAGACGGATTTTCGGCCAAGACGGGATTGGCAGCGTAAGGTGGTGCGCTGGCAAGTCTTGCTACCTCGGTCCATGTGCGTCTTGGACAGAGACAGTCTGACAGACAGGCAGACGGACAGACAGACCTAGGATTCGAGGATTCGGGCGAGAGGCGGTGGGAAACACTGGACGGTGGACGAGGCATCGTTGCGGTGCGATGCAATGCGCTCCGTGGGGCAGCGGCACCTTTGTCTGTCCGATTTTCAAGGTTGTCCGTCTTGACGTCGACTTGGCGTGTCCTCCAACTTCCAAGACTCCAGTGACGCGAGGTCGGGTAACCATGCGCAGCAAACAGGCACATTCGACTCGCATTCTGATTCGACTTGCATCGTGTGGGACAGCGGGCGACGGATGAACCAAACAGCGCACAGCAGCCAGCCGCAGGCACGAGGCACAGAGCTGCCCCGGATTGGCGTTTCCTGGGTACTTGGCGTTTCCGGAGGGGGGAGGTGTAGCACCTTGTTCTCGTTCTGGTCTGTTCAGTTGCGGCCTTTGCAGGACGACGCAGCTTGGGACTGTGTAACTGTAGTGTGTACAGACAGATACGGAGTACAGCAGAACGACGATTCGTAGTGTTGTGAGAGTTGTGGAATGGAGGCGCATTTACATGCATGGCGACGACGACGAGGACGACGACGGGTCCGCCCAGGCGCCTCAGAGAGGCCGAACTTTGGAACCATTGATTGCAATGATTGGCACGCCCAACTCAGATTGTGCCATATCTGGTAGGCCGGACTGCGTGCGTGCTCGATCCATAGTCGGGGGTGTCACGGTGTCCAGGACCCGTCCGCTTAACCCGTGGAGGGGACCGCAATCTCTCGCGATCATCTGGCGTAAAGTGGATGTTCGTAAAGTGTCTGATGAAGATGCGCTCCGTAATCAAGCGAACGACTCAGGCGTTGGAATGAACCTGCTCGATACATCTTCCCAATACATTTTGTTTTTAGCAGGGAGAAGGGTGGCAGAAAACACTGTAGAGTTTAAGGGATCCGAACTGTTGGATCATGTTGGATATCGGAGATGGACTCAAAAGAGGAAGAGGAGAAGAAGAAGAGGAAGACAGAGGAACAGACAGAGAGCGCGTGTCTGTGTGTGTGTATGTGTGTATATGAAGTAGAGGTACATGTACCAGGTACACAGTACTTGTTCTTCGCTTGGTGGCTTCCTCTTCCTCTCCCCTTACCCTTCTTTCCCACCTTGGCCTCTAAGTATCCGTAGAGGGCAGGCCCCCCGTGTCCCTCAAATCGCTCCCCCCGGTTGCCGTCGAGAAACCCACAATTCCCCCCCAGTCCTACTGTGTATCCGCAGTGTACAGAGTACTCTGTCCACTAGGCTCTCGGTCTCCATGCGACTGGTACCTCCACCCACTACCCCCTTCAATTGATTGCCCGATGGGAAGGAAGGAGGGAGAGGGAGACCGAGAGGGGGAGGGACCTGCCCATAGTGTAAGGTAGAGAGAGGAGACCTGGGTGTGAGTGTGAGGTGAGGTAGGCGCTACTTACCTTGCGGCTTGCGCCTCCCTTTTTCGAAACGTCGTCTCTAAAGCAGTTCAACTCCATTTCGCCTTCAATTCACCCGTCTTTTTTTTTCCCTCACTTGATTCCGCTCCCTTTTTGTTTTTCCCCCCTCCCCCTCCTCTCCCTCTTGTATGTCCTCTGTGTCTGTGTCTTAATTCTTCATCCCAAACCCGCCCGATACCGCCAATCGAATCCATCGTCATCCTTCCATGTGGTAGCGCAATAACAAGAGAGAGAGAGAGAGAGAGAGAAGCAGCACCCTTTACACACTCGACAGTACCATACTCCGTACCGCATCCGCCATACGCCAACGTCTATTCGCTCACGCGACGCAAGCCTCCGAGGCACCCTCATCTTCAACCACAATCATCTGGTCCTCCCTACTTTCTAAACCGTTCCGTCCGAGCCCGCCCGTCCATCCATCCTCACCCGGCACCCCGACCGCCGCCTTGCGCTACGGTCCTGGCCATTACCTACCACCTCTGGCTTGCTGGCCTACCTACTGCTTTGCAAGTTTCTTTTTTAGTTCCTGCCAGCTGGATTGGACTGCAGACTGCACCGGTTGCTGTCACGCCTGCGCCTGCGCCTACGCCTGTGCTTGTGCCTCTTACACGCACCCCCTTCTTCGAGAATAGCACCGTCCAGGTCGTCCGTCACTCAACCTTGAAACCTCACTCCGTCCTCCGTCCTCCCCAACACCAATCCTCGATACTCCCAGTAACTGGAGGGGCCGCACAGGCCGAGCCACTTTTAAAGCATTTCGCGCCCCCGTACCGAAACTGTGTCTTGGACTCTGCGCCGGTGATTCACTTCAATGGCGCTTTAGACGTCCCTCTGCTGCTGGCACGCGCTCCTTTCCCTTCCCTGAGCAACTCATCTTAGGTTCAAAGGCGCCCTATCCTACCTTACCTTACCGTCCCGTACCCGGTCCCGTACCTCACCTTATCCTGGGTACCTTGAACAATCCGCTTTGCCTGTTTGGACCACCTTTCCCCCTTCGTGGTTCTGTCACTTTCCTCCCACTTGGACACTTATTTCCTCCCCGCGAACCACTCGATCCCACAAGTCGGCACCCCGTCTATATCACCCCCCTCGACACCCATATCCAACACACCACCGCCTCCTCGAACCCCCGAACATATTCTTCGCCTTCCATGTGTACTAGAAATACCGGGCACCGAATACTCTCCAGACCATTTCCCCACGCCGGGGTTACGGCCATACCGCAAACATGTCATTACCAGTCGCCATCCAGTCGGCGATTTTCTACTACCTCGCATGTACACCATGTAACGAGATGAAGGCTTTCCGAAAGGCCAAGAAGAAGGCCAAAGAGGACAGGGAGGTGAAGCGGAAAATAGAGATGGAGCAACCTGGACTGTACCGTCATCCTGACCCCTTTCACACAAACCCATTCTGGGCCGAGGAGATGGCTGCAGGACCACACTTACCCAAAAAGTCAACGAACAAGAACTCGAGCCAGAGAGGCCTGGCGAGCGCTGGCCGGACGAGCACAGCCGCGAGTTTTGGTGGCGCGAGTACTGTTGCCGAGAGCACCACCCCTGCGACCCCGACAATAAGTGCCTCAACAGCTGGTCGAAAGCTATCCGGTGAGGGCTGGAATAGAGAGCTGTACCAACGAGAGGACGAGGAGCTTTGGGGTCACAACTTCACCGGCATGGGTCACAAGCTGATGGACAACATCGCAAAGGCTGGAAACACAGCTGGACGCTATATGGAGGAAAAGTTGGGGCTGGAGAAGCCCATCACAGATGAGGACCGCGAGAACTTTTACCGTACGCCGAGAAATCCGCCCGTCAACGAGTACCATCCGCCGATAGTAGGAAGCAAGCCATCCCGTCCGGACGCTCTCAAGTGGATGTTGCAGCCGCCGCCCCCTGCCAAGCTCATGGAGGGCCGTATTCCCGTCGCCAGAACGCAGAGCACCAGCACAGTCGGGAGCAGGAGAACAATGGCGTCTGAGGACACCCCCTTGGACAGGCTGGTCCGTGAGAAGGCGTTGAAGAAGAAGTTGCGGCAACAAGGAGAGAAGCTGCCCTTGGAGGAGACGCCCTCGGAATCGGAGTTGATCGACTCGCTCATCGGCAGGCGGTCACGACGAACAACGGTATCGAGCAGGGGCATGTCCAACCGTAGCCGTAGCCTCTCTCTAGACTCTGAAGTATCTTCAGACGGCGAGCTGGTAGAACGTCGGCGCATCGCCCGTGCTCGACGAGTTCCCATGACGCCCGAAGAGACCTCTTCGGACGAGGACGACTTTGTCCAGCACCGCACGTGGGATTCGTTGGGGAAGTCGAGTCCTCCCCGACGGCCCAAGCTGGAGACCATTAAAAGCTCCCGCTCCAACTCCAGGCAGGCATTAAAGGCACGTCCCAACGGCACGAAGCCGGACGTCACAGTCAAGGACAACTCTGACGTCACGCCCAAAGCGTCTGCCAACCCTATCATCAACCGCACCGCAGACGAGAACACACCTACCGCTGTCGCCATTACTACGACAGTATCATGATGTTGAACACCTTACATGAACTAGGTCGAACAGATTGCCGACCAGAACACACTTTCTCTAGTTGTCTCCGACCCTCCCCATCATCCTTTGACGAGGGTCATCTACTGCATTATCTACTCTCAGAGAGGGGCATAGCGTTCAAGGGAAGGAGCATTTGCATTTTTCGGAAATGGGATTCGGCATCGAGGCGTTTAGAGGTGTGTTGCAAAAACAAAGCAAGAGAGCAAGCATACGGCGGGCAATTGGGTATTTCAAAAATAGGGGTCTGGGGTCTCTGGGTTGGTTTTGTTTAAAGAGGACGAGATCCATGGCTTGTTTGTTTCTTTGGTTTTTTTTATTTCATTTCTTCGTTTCTACATCTTATACATTCGACCGCACACAAAAATGCGATGAAGCCTTTTACTTCTTTCATTTTATGCCTCTTTTTTTCCCTTTCCTATTTTCCCTTTGTCATGGCATTGCTAGCAAGTAGCACTAGGAACATGAAGGGTATTATTGCTCTGTCCGAATTCTTGGTAACCCAACGTCCACTAGTCTCTTTTCCTCTTTGTTCGGTTTCTTTCCTCGAACCAGACCAAACGCCTCGTCGATAGTGAATCCCTTGTGTCATCTAGCCACTCCTGCCATATTCTCACAGATGCATTCCGCCGTCCTCGTCGTCATCGCCGAGACCTCTCATCCGCTCCTCCATAGCCCGACGCAGTTCCTCATCTGTCAGGCGACCACCGGTGCCGTTTGCTTGCTGAGCTGGCTGAGCAGGTTGCGCAGGTGGACCATCCATCGTGATCACACCGTTGCGTATCGTGCCCATCTGGAATGTGCCGTCCATCCAAGCAGGATGTGACGAGCTCGCGACAGGACCACTGCCATTACTCGGCGGCGCGCCCTGATGTCCAGCAGCAAGCCTATCCTCCTCTGCCGCCGCCGCGCCAAGCCCGTTTGTCGCTGGAATCCCGTTCCCATTGACGCCGTTCGCACCAGCCACGGATTCACTCGTGATCCCCCTTCGATCCGCCGCCGCTCCTCCTCGTGCTGCTTCCGCCTCCTCTTCCTCCACTTCCTCTTTACTCTTGAACTCGTTCCACGAGTGTCCCCTGCTCTCGACCTCGTCGCGGATAATCTGGACGCGCTCGCGCATGCGGGCGATGACGACGTCGTTTTCGCGGATCGCTTCGACGCAGGTCGGGTCCGGGCCGTGACCTGCTGAGGCGTCGGTGGCGGAGTCGAGGGTTGTGGCGTCGCCTGCTGCGTAGGGGGCGAGTTGGGCGTTTGAGTATTCGAGGTGGAGGATGGAGTTGCGGATTTCGAGGGCTTTGAGGTGGAGGGTTGGCAGGGAGAGGTCGTGGAGGGCGGTGGCGAAGTGGGTTGGGGATATTGGGCGGGTGTCTGCTGACATTTTGGGCGGTTGGGTTGTATTTCGTTTGGAGGGGGAGAGTTTTGGTTTCTTGGGTTTGGTATTGGGCTTTGGTGGTTGATGAGTTTGCGACTTTGGATATGTTTGGTTTTGTTGAGGATGGAGGTGTTGGGTGGGCAAGAGAGGGAATTGAGATCCTCAGGTAGGGAAAAGGGCAAGAAGGTAAAAGCGAGTGATGATTGAAAGAATGGGCAGAGGGAAGGAGGGAGGGAGGACGATGACGATGTGCGAGCGTGGTGTTTGGTAGAAGAAAGGAGCGTCTTCTAGGTAGATGCCGTGCAACGTCACCGCAGGTTTTCTGCCAGCTGGTAGAGAAGGTCAGGTAGCTTCTCCAAAGCTAGGTGGGCGCGGGGTGGGTTGGATAGCACGGATGGGAAGGTGGTGGAAGGTGCAGTGGAAGGTTCCGGCGGCGGGGAATGAGCAGGGGGGAGTGGTCAGGTACGGATACCTTGATGGAAAATGACGAAAGGGGGGCTTCCACTGGGGCACCTTACCGCCGACGGAGTTCTCCGCTCCCGTCGTTGTTATCGATTACGTGCCTTAGTAAGGTTCTTAGGTACCCCGGGGGTGGGCCGGAACTTGTCCTTGGCCGGCTGCCGCGGTCCCGATCCCCGTGGTCGGAATTCTCCAAAGAATTTACGGGTTCGATTGCGTCTTTGAGATCGAACCACTGCGACAACGCCGCCCGCGTGCGACGACGACGAGCAACCACCACCACTACCTCTGCGAACTCGCGCAAGAGTGCGACAGCGCTTACAATACGAGAGGTGGCGCACGCCTGCAACATTCACCAAAGATAAAGTTCTTCGTCGACAAGCAGCTGGCGCATTGATGAGTGTCTAGCTTCTCAGTGCGCTCCGCGAAACGAGGAAAAAAGACGGCTGTTCGCCCACCCAGGGCGGCTCTAGGAAGCCATGAACGCCTCACTCGGTCTCGTCCCCTCGAGATCGTTCCTCCACCTCGGCCTGCGCGCCGCATGCCGTTCCGCATCAAACACCACGAGCTGTTCGCCCGCGTCACGACTTCTTTCGACATGCACCATCACCTACCAAACGTCCACCGTCGCCAACCGACCATACGCACCGGGTCCCTCACCCCTCCGCCAAACCCAATGGCCATCCCCCAGCCTCACCGCCATGACGGCCGGTAGATCGATACAAAGATGGGCCTCCTCCTCCTCCTCCGCGTCATCACCACCATCACAACCGCCCAAGACCGACTACAAGAACGAGCCCGTCCTCCGCGACTACGTAGACCTCCCCCTCGACTATAAGGACAAACTAGGCCTGCGCTTCAGGGAGGAGAACAAGGACCTCTCGGCCGCCGAAGTCAGGTCCGTCTTCGGTGCCTCCCTCAAGCCCGCCGCCGCGAACCGGCTGCTGCGCATCATGCACGGCCGCCGCGTCGCCGGCACGCTCGAGGACCCTGCCTTCGCCATCAACACCGCCGCCTTCACCTCCCAACAGCGCGACGCCGCGCTAGCCTACCTCCGCGAGAAGATGCCCGTAGACGAGGTCCTCAACGCGGGTCTCCGAGCCGAGGACGAGCTTGCTGCGCTGGAGAAGGACCTCGCGGAGGAGAGCAGCACCGACGAAGACACTTCCTCCTCGTCAACCGCAACCGCCGGCTCCAAAACACCATCCCTCCGCAAAGAAACCGCCCCCGTCGTCAAACCGGACCCCGTATACGGCTACAGCGCCTTTGACGCCATCCGCGCCAAAAACCAAGCCAAGGCCGCCGAGGAAGAGGCCCGGCTCATCGCCGAGGCCGAGGCAAAGGGCATCGAGTACAACCCTGGCACGCTCTCCATCCCCATCAAGCGGCCCCCGATGACGCCGCGCATGGCAAAGTGGACGGAACAAGGCACCGCCTCGGACCTCGCCGCCCCGCCGCCGCTCACCCTCGCCGAACGCATCCTCCCTTCCGCGGCCGTCGTCTTGCTGCTGGTCGGCGCGCTGGCGACGTTCGCGGCGGTGTATACCCCGCCCCGCGACGCCGACCGCCTGTTCCCCGAGGTCGGCGCCTCGACGGCGACGGTCGGCGCGCTGATTGCGCTCAACGTCGTCGTCTCGATTGCGTGGCGCGTGCCGCCGCTGTGGCGGTTCCTGAACCGGTATTTCGTGCTCGTGCACGGCATGCCGCGCGCCGTGACGATGATTACGGCGAATTTCTCGCATAGTTCCTTGGGCCATTTGGCGACCAATATGGTGGGGCTGTGGTTCATGGGCACCGCGTTGCACGACGAGGTCGGACGGGCGAATTTCCTGGCGATTTATTTGGCGTCTGGCGCCGTTGGGTTCCTGGGGAGTTTGACGGCGTATACGCTTCGGGGGTTGTTGACCGTGTCGACTGTGGGTGCGTCGGGCGCCGTGTTTGGTGTTGCGACGGCGTACTTTTGGATGCATCGGTTTGATTCGTTCAAGGTGCTTGGGTTCCCGCCGGATCCGATGAATGGGCCTCAGGGGCTGGGGTTCATTGCGTTGATTTTGGGGTTCCATATCTATGCGTTCTTTAGGCGGGGCAAGCAGACGATCGATTTGACGTCGCATTTGTTTGGTATGTTGGCTGGGTTGGTTGGTATCGAGTTCGTGACAGGACGCAAGGTGGAGGGGGCGAGGGTTGATGGGTTGGAGAAGAAGAGGGGTGATCTTGTTGCTGATGCGCCGCCTCGTGATGGGCAGAATGATGGCGGGAATGATGTCAAGGCTTGAGAGAGAGAGAGAGAGGGAGAGAGAGAGAGTCAGGGGATGTGTCTAGATGTTCCGCTTTCTGAGAGAAGTGGGAGGGTGAAGTGTGTATAATATATTGAAGAACACTGGGGGGAACCTGCTTTCCCCCTATCATCAGCCCCTTTGGTGGGAAATTAGATTTTGTAAACTTATATCTCGAACGTAAGACAGATACCACTTTGAGGCAACGTTCTTTCCAGGATTTGAGATGAGGCTAGGATTTCGTTTTGAGTTATGGCAATGTTATACAGATAGCCAGCCTATCTCTACTTCCAAAGGGCGGTTTCCTGGCCCTACAAATTGATCCAGTGTGTGGATGATTCCCAGCGTTTCGTACCATCTTACAAAAGGTCTATGTTATATTGTACAGTTGTTTTTGTCTTCCATCTTACACGAGGAGATTCCTCTCGGGGTGGTGTTACAGGTGTTACAAAGCCGTGCTGCCCAGCGCAATCAAGCAGGCATGGGAGTGGCCGCTACCGCATCGTCAGCAGGGGCATCATCCTTCTTCGTCGTCGTCGTCTTCTTCTTCTTCTTGTCAACACGTCGTCGTCCCACGGGCTGACACCAAATCTGCATGGTCACAACATTGATGTCGGTAATCTCGACATCAATCACATCATCAACCTGCATGTCCGCGAGCCTACAGTAACCATCCAGCCCCAGCAGGTTCACAGAGGCGCCCAGGTTGTAAAAGGTGCTCAACCGACCCCTCAGACCAAACGAGTAGACGGCGTCGACGACAAGCTTAAATGTCTTTGGCAGCGGTGCCTCGCCGAAGCGCCACGCGCGCAAGAGCGCCTGCGCGACCCAGTGCGTTGGGGCGTTCTTGTTGTCGACTTGCTTGATCTGGCGCTGCAGGGCGTGAAGCATCGGCAGCGCGTTGGATAGGGAGCGATGCGTCCAGGGGAGGAAGGCGGCGCCGGCGTCGGCATCGGCCTCATCGGATGAGACGTCCTCACGGACGAGGGAGCGGCCCGTCTCGCGCTCGTGTGCGAGGGCGGCGTGGATCTGCCAGTGGACGACGAGGTCGTTGAAGCGGCGGATGGGACTGGTGGACTTTGCGTAGGCGTCTACGCCGACGGCGTAAAAGGGCGCCGGGCTGGCCGAGATCTCCGAGTTGCCGACGTAGACAAGGAGCCTGTGGATGTGCTCGGCGGGAATGGGCTTGCCTTGCGCTGTTAGGGGGTCAATGTGCTCGCGGCGGTAGGCGGCGAGGCCCTCTGCGTTGGCGACGGCGTCGGGTTGAGTGCTGTAGGGGACGGGGATGGCGCGGGCCTGGCACCACTTTGCGGCGACTTCGCCGGCCGTGTGCATGAGGGACTCGACGAGGCGGTCTGCCTTGCTGTACGTGGACGTGCTGAATTCGATAAACGGGTCGCCCTGCCACGCCATGGACTTGGTCAGGTTGTCGGAGTCGCCTTTGACGACGATGTGGTCGAGGGATACCTTGGGTGAGTCGAATCTGGTCTCGAAAGGGGGTAGCTGTCCCTTTTCCACGCGGCGATGCTTGAGGGCTTTGCAAAGGCGGTTGAGGAGGAGCAGGTCATCCCTATCTTCCTGGGACAGGTCTGCGGCGGTAGTGATGTGCTTCACAGGCTTGGGCGGCGAGGGTGGCTTGCCCACGGCGAAGGTTTTGCTGACGGTCTGTGTTTCAAGGCCGGGCAGGATGCCAGTGACCTCTCCCTTGGGGATGTGCAAGATGTTTTGCACGGTGCCCGGCTCGACTTTGTAGTCTAGGATGTCCCCTATCTCGTTAACCTTGGCGCTGAAGGTCAACGACGGTCGGCCAGGGTTCAGCGAGAACTCCTGCTCGAGATCCCGCGGCAGCATCTTTTGGTTGTATCCGGGCATGTACAAACTCGATGGCGCCTTTTCGAGTTGACGAGCGAGCGCGGATTTGGGGTCGATGCGGGATCCTGGGTCGGCAATGTGGATGTGTATCCAATATTCCCCGGGCTTCTCAGCCGCTTCGACTGAGAAGCCGTCGTCCACGTCGGCCGTTTGCTCAGAGTCCACGCAGAAGATTGTTGTTTTGCCCCAGTCACGCCTGTGGCCCTCAGCGATATCAGGTCGGAGTGATGCGTTGACGTCCACGAGGGGCGTCTCCATGGTAGCGCCTCGCTGGACAGTGGTGCCCGCGAGCTTGTACTCGTAACGAGCCGGGATGTCCCAGGGTGGAATCCAGCCGATCTCCTGGAGGAAAGTGAAGGCCGTCCAGTACGCCACCCAGTCGGAATCCTTGTAGCAGTCCGTCAACTTCAGAATGGTGGAGCCTAGACTCTCGAGCTGAGATGGCTTCGGCACGATGCGGTGACACGCCCATAGCTCCATGAAGCGGATGTAATCGAGATCCTGCTTGCTCCAAGTCGCGAGGCTATCCACCTCGTCATTGCTAGGTCCAATCATGCCATGAGGCGTCCACTCTCGCCTCAGCCGGCTCGCCTGGATTATTCCGCGAGCCTTGAGGATGAAGGAACCGAGGCTGTTCTGACGCAGGAGGGAGAGGGATTGCGCCGGGTTTTCGCGCAGCGCGGCGCCCTCCACCAGTTCGCGGACCTGGTTCTCGACCTTGTTCAGGAGTTTGAGGTCGGATGTGGACCTGACCTCGTAGATGTAGTTGCGCCTGTGCCACTTCATGTTGAGCGGGCGGAACCCCCATCCATCGCGGTTCAGGGCGGTATGCACAGCATACAGCTGATGGGGAAGGAACCTGTCGCCCACTTTTACGTGCTGAGGCAGCAGCTTGTCCGCGATCTCCTCGAGGCTGAGGTACTGCAGCTCGCCCGTAGCCAAGTGTTTGCTCGCGAGGTCCAAGGTGAGCTGGGACTGATAAAACGAGACGGAGTCTTGGTAGAATTTGATCAAGTCTCCCTGTAGTTGGGCGGCGGTTTTGAGCGCATCCGGCGTATGGTTGTGAAACAGCGCGTTGCGCCGCTCCTCTGTCTCGGGTTCCGCGGGCAAGATGTCGGCGAGGGGCTTGAGTCTGTACGGGTCGACAAAGTTTTTGAGGATGAAGAGGGTGACGATGTTGCGCTCTGGGACGAGTTCACCCGTGCTCATGTAGAAGTACTGCGAATTGTTGTGACGGCCAACACAGATTGCCAGGATGGGCAAGCGGCCGCTGTTGTACTTTGTCTCGACCAGGTCACCAGGTTTGAGGGCGAATGTAGATCCTCGTAGATCCTGAAGTTCGTCGCCTTCGGACAAGTCGCGGTTCTGCTTGGTTTTATCGTGTAGTTCCTTTTCTCTACCTGCCATGGATCCCACAGAGGCAGGGAGCAGATCCGGTCTGGTCAGGTAGTTCAGCAGCGGCGTGTCCTGCGTAGGCAGGTCCTGGAGCAGACGCTTCGAGGGTGAGTAGTTTGCGCTCTCCCAGTCCCGGAGCCGCATCCTGATATCCGACTTTTGACGGATATATTTCAGTTCCTCTTTCGTGGCTATGGTCGTTGGCTTGCGAGGCCCACCTCTGCCACCGCCATTGCCATAGTTACCACCACGAGCGTTACCGCCTTGGTGGCCATAATTCCCGCGATAGTTCCCGCCCTGGTTGCCACTGTAGTGGGATCTTCCACCCGCATATGACTGCGAATGAGCTTAGTGAAATTCAAAGACATTGGGTAATCTTTGATGAGGAAGCCCTCGTCAAAAGTGAGACGTACCCTTCTAGACTCCGTGGAGCCTGTCCCTAGCTGCTGGAGTGATAGGGTGGAGTGCAAGCCGCCAGCGACTGGCGATAGTGACGGCCTGGATGAAAGACATCTCCAGCACACATATGGTTTGCCAGAGGTTCGCAACATTGCGGGCAAATTTGTGGCAATGCTATGAGGACGTGGTATTGAGCGACGTCCCTCGCCACGAAGTCCCGTCTCAACGGCTCACCAAAATTTCTGGTCGTTTGGCCGCGCCACATGGTGTCCACTTTTTGGTCCACTTTCGCGCTATCACGTGACTGGTATCTCAGAAGGCACAGTGAGGCAAGGGACCGCCAGCTTGGTCTTCATTCAGCTTTAAAGAGAAAAGCATAGTTTCAATCGCATGCCTTATCAGTATCACCAAGGAGTCAGACGATAAGTGGGGGCATGGAAAACCCAGGAACTCCAACCTGGACAAACACGAACAAGGAAAGCGCCGGATGTTAGATATGTAGCAAAGCGCCATCTCGCGGTCACAGTTCGCCAAAGGATACCATTGTTAAGATAAATCAGACACTTTCCCTTCATCGATACTGACAGCGGTACCTAAGACCTTTGAACGGAGGTCAGTCGGCGTGGTCATTAAGCCCCGCTGCCACATGCCAAAATGGGTAGTGGAGCCCGCCGGCTGTTGTCCTCCGGCGCCGGTAACAGGCGGCCCCATATCGGTCCTCCTTCTTCCGGCCACTTCAGCCGGGGCGAGATGGCATACTTGGGCTAGCTACCATATCTAGCCTATTGCCTCTTCAACGATGCATCGACGCATCAACAGCTAAATTGAATGGTGAATATCCGTCCTTCTCAACTCATCTGAAGATTTGGCGATGGCCGTCCACCCGCGAGATCAACATCATCTTGGGGCCAGATACAACAGCTTGAAAACGGGTCTCGTGCAGCTCACCATTTCCTGCTCCTCTCCATGGTCTACAGTCAATCTCCATCTTGACCCGTTTCTCCCACACGTAAGGTAAGGTAAGGTAGGTATTGGTATCCGCCCCAGGCCTTGCAGTGAGATCATCCTCCAAGAGTCCCTTTCATCGACAATGTTTCAACCCGCAAAACTCCACACCACTCAAATCATCGCATGTTTCAATTCTCAAATAGCAATACCCCCACCCACGAACCCCGAAACAATTGAAGCCAGCAAGAAACAAAAACCGGAGAACCGACACAAAGGGCGCACGTGGCTGGCTCACATGGTCCTCCCTAATACACACGCACAATAAGCATGTGTCTCGACAGTGCGTTCAAGTTGGACATCCAAATTTCGTCCAAAATCCATCCCCCTCATACGCTATGACATCTTTCTCCCCAATCCCCGGCCCGAGCTCTCGTCTTAAAAACTGCAGGAAAAAGCAAGGTCATTTTTACCCAGTCTCTGAGCACCAGGCACATTGCGCAAGCCTGATTTTCTTTTTCATCTGAACCATTGGCGCGCGCGCGCGCGCGCATACCGAGTAGTTTGCAAGTCAACGGCTTTTTTCCTGCGCCTTTGCTGAACCCCCTTCTCTGGCATTTTCTAAAACGACTTCTAGTGCCAAACGTCTTGAAAGCGTAATCAAGATTACGAGTCTGGGAGGATATTCGAGCTAAGCTTGGTTCGTGAGCTTGAGCTCTCATCTCCCCTCTTCCCGCTCTTTCCCCAACAAGGAAGAGGAGGTGAAAAGTGCCGAGACGAAAAAAAAAACCCAAGGTACCTTATCCAAGGGGAGGCTAATACAAACGCCCGCCGCCCATGAACGGTTTCAAGCCTCCTCTCCCCACCTCCCGCGTCCACCTCATCGGCTCGTCCAGTCCTCCACCACCAAACAATGACAATCCCACTTACAAGAACCGGGAAGGGAAGGGTGGGGCTGAGTCTTGTGGCTGATCACGCCAAATGGTCCCCGAAGAATATTGTCCCCGCGGGATAATTTCCATCGAGGCGGGAAGGGTGAAGAGGTGCTCAACGGAACACAACCTTCCCGAAGCCACCCTTCCCTTGCTTGGAAACGCACCATGGTTATTTCCAGAGAGGAGGTACGAATAGACACTAGACAGCAAGACTTGACATCATGCCATCCCGCGCGTGCTAAACACCACCAACACCACCTTACCTTACTTTACCATCCCTTTTGCGCACAGTCCTCCTTCTTCCCCTTCTTCCCCTTCTCTTCCCCCCCTTCTTTAACCAGCCTTTCCATATATCGGTTCAAGCACAAACCCCCATCACTCGCATCATCCGTCTTGGTCCGTACCACGATATCCAACATCAAGGACGGCACTAACGTAGTGTGAAAACGTTGCCCCGCCCCCTCTCTCCCGTAGCCGTCTTCAACGCAACATGTTTCTGGCAAAGATTGACGCAAGGGAACAAGAACGGAAGAACCAGAAAAGAGAAATAGAAAAAAAAGATCCGAGCGGCTCGCCATGACAACGAAACGTGCAAAGTCACCCCAGGGTCCATCCCATCACAAAATCAACCACATTGACACCTCAAAGTGCCAAACGTTCAGACTCCCGTCAAAAGTTCAACCCCCATTCCAAGTCCTCGGGGCCCAGGTCTCGGGGAGAGATGTTCCAGATAAAACGGTGTTCAGGATGCTCAATCGATGGGCATTGGGCAAAGCACATTCTAATCAGAAGGGGAACCTCGTCTTATGCGTCTTAACGCCTCGAATAACGACCTCAACACCGTACCATGCAACATATACTAAGTAATCTTCCCTGCCACGCTTGCCTTGTCGCCCGTTTCGTTTTCTAAGTGATCCTATAACATAACCTGTATTACTGTAAACCAAACCTCGGAAACTCCGACAAAGGAAGGGGGAGAGGAAGGGGTCCGACCGTTGGTAGGCTTAAAAGCTAGTTGGCTATCAACCAGGTTCCTGGGTCAAGTCAGACTCTTGTCAGAGGCTCAGAGCCACGGTTCACCTGTTCACATAATCCGTATTTCCGTAATGTCGACTGCTCTGATCCGCGGTTCGAGACTTTGTCTGCCGTGCCATGAAGCGCCCATCGTTCGGTATCTCTCGTGTCTCCTCCCGCCCAAAGTGATTGACACTTGGCAGCTGGTCAACCCTCGTGCGTGCCGTGCTCACGGTACCGTAACACTGCATCCCATCCCCCCTTCCAATTCTGTGACACATGGTGCATGTCACCAATGCAGCCCATCACTCCCTCGTGGCCAAGCACCCATCACAGAAAAGACTGAGCGGACCATCGGTTTGTTTTGGTTATCTTTTTTTTTTTAATTTGGTTTGGCATATCTGATTGACGCTTTGCGCGCGAGCGCCTCCCTTTCTCCCGATTGACGATGCTACCCTATGCAACTCCTTGCTTTCGCCCCCCTTTTTTGGTAAAGGATCTACCATCTCTCTACCATTGTAGGACCTGTCTCTTCTCCAACATGATGCTTTGTCAGATACGACAAGCGGAAAGGGCGGTAAACGCCCTCGTTCCTTTCAAACCAACTACCACATCCCCCGCTCTCCCCCATATGCTTCTTCTAACAATTACTCCTAGCCTCGATACAATTACCCCGGAAAAAGGCCGCTTTGTAAGAATTTTGTTGAGATAGGAGATAATAGATACTATGGAATTTCGGCAGTATACAGATTGAATAGGGGTATAAGAAACAGTGCTGTTCAAGTTCATTATGCAGGTTGTTGTTTGCAATCTTGCTGCCTGTGTCTAACGGGCGTATATAAGACTTGCGATTCGAGAGCATCGGGTCCGAGCATGGTAAAAAGGAATGGCGGGCGCTATGCCGGTCCTCGCCGGACCTTATTCCAAAAACGCTTCATGACGCCTCGGTCGTTGGCCTGAGCGTTTTCTTGGTCCATGGCCGCGAACTGACGTTCTATGCTCTCCTTTGACGATGCATCTCGGACGTATGTCGACGTCGGAAATTCGTCTCGTAAGCCGTTGGATTGGGATTTCCTAGGCGGCAACGGCTTCTGCTGCCAGCCGTACATCTGATCTTCGTGGGCTCGGAGGTCGGGTCGGGTGAGGGTCATGCGCAGTGTCATTTCTCTCGCCTCTGCCGGCATCCGTGCGTATTCCGTTGATGGTTTGGGTGAGTGAAGCTGATCACTCTTGATGGGCGGCGGCCGAAGCGCTGTCATCTCCACTGTATGGGGTGTCTTTGGGGAATCCGAATCAAGGGATCCATCATCGCTGAAGATCGACGACCGATCGTCGGCGAGAAAGGTACGGAGGTTTTCTGACTCGTCCACCAACGCTGCCTTGGATTGTCGGTGTTTTGGTTGCTTGACGTCCTTGCCAGGCTTCGTGACCATGGCTTCTTTCGAAGGAAACCCAAACTCGATGGCCTCGTCAAACTTCTGAGGGGAGGCCAGATATACCCGCAGCTTCAGGCGTGCCTCGGGATCTTGGTAATGTGCAGCCTCTGGGTCAAAGGCGGCCATAGTGTCCTGGGGACTATGCTTCGGTGAAATCAGGGACAGCGCCCGTGATCTCCGCCGGCCGTGGCCCGGAGAACTTGTCTGGGGGCTGACCGGAGAGCTCGAAAATAGTGGAGTCGTGGGATGGCTGGCACCGGCAGGTGTCGTACCGGGGCGGTTGGTAGAGAGGGAGTTGCGACCGAAAGGTATCTTTGATATGGAAAGGTGCCTGCGAAATGACGGCCTGCGCTGTTTCGAGTTGGCCGGTAGATCTTCTCGCAAATTGGCGTGGTAGTCGTCCAGATGTAAACGCAGGTCTAGGTCGTCATCCTCCTCCAACCAACGGAAGCTGTCGTAGAATGAGTCCCGCTTCTTCTGAACTTGAGGGGACTTCTTTTCTTCCGACTTGGGCATTTGTTTCCTCGTCTCCTGGCTCGGCCGTCGAGATTCCATCGTCGAAGGTCTCACCGATAGAGTCGGACTCCACAACTCGTCTTGAACAATCAGACTGGAGGCTCGTCTTCGAACTTTGTAAATGGCCTCATCAGCCGGGTCAAGGATGATATCGTGTCTCCGGTTTCGGGAAGCAGCAATTTGCTCTTCGGTAGTCAAGTGCCTCTTCCTAATCTTGTCGGGCAGCCGTACGTAGACGGAGGAGCTCGTCGAAGCGCGGAAATTGGCACGGCGGGAAGGCCGTCTCTTGACGCGGTCGGAAACTTGGTCGGATGCAAGTCTAGCTTGACGTTCCTTGCGGCGCTGCTTCAATGTCTTTGGTGTAGGTGCAGTGTCTGGACGGTCAAAGTAGATATCGATATGCGTGGATGGCGGAGGGGGAGCCGGAGCAAGACTGGCAAAGTGAAGGCGTTCGAGGGAGCTAAAGTACTGAGGAAGGATTTAGTAAGAGTTGTGAGGTGAGATGAGGAAGAAAAAAAGATACAAAGGCGTAGACCGGAATGTAGATGGGGGCAAGAATGGAATTGAGAAACAAGGAGGGCATGTAGTGTCTTAATGCAGGAACGAGCAGAGGGAGGGAGGACGTCGTGTTCCCTCCACTTGCACCACTAAGTAAAGTATGGGACTGGAGACTGTGCTCATCCGCACCGCACCTGTGTCGTGTTGCGTCGTGTTGCGGTGGTGCTTGTGAGCGGGACCTGCATTGCATCTGCTGAGGTGCATGACGGATGGAGCAGCTACCGTACTGAGGATGTACAGAGGTACGAAGTACAGGAAGGAATCACTACAAGATGGACACTGTCTGGTGTGTGTGTGTGCGATACCGCAGTCATCAAGCTGCAGTATGCGTAGGCAGAGATACTTTGAGAGAGGAGAGAGGAGCGCCTTTGCTCGAATCAACTTGAACGCCAACCCAATACATCGAGATCAGCGACGCTCGAACTCAATTCAGCCCCCCGGCCCTCAAGGGACAAGCTCTGGGTTCTGGGATTGGGATTGCTTCTACAGGCAATCTAGGAATAGCCCGGGAGCCGACCCATGACTTTGGACGCAAAGCTCCAAACCGTCAATTGAGACAGGAGGGGCGACTGGTGCCAGGGGTGGGGGGGGGGGGGGGGGGGGGGGGGGGAGAAGCCGGAGGAGAAAGACAAGCAGGAGGGAGCTATGGTAGTGGTTCCAAGACTTGCGCGGGAGAGAGAGAGAGAGAGTAGCGGTAAGGGAAAGTGAGGGAGTGAGTGTGAGAGTCCGTGATGCATGTCAAGTCAGGTCAGTGCATCAGCACCATGCTCAGCGTCAGTGCGGATGCATGTGCCGTGCATAGTGACTTTTCGACGAGAGACGACAGACAAGACAACGCAGACACGGACGGCACACGCCATGCGCGAATAGCTCTAGAGTCCACGCCGCACCAAGCTCACCAAGAGCACTTGCGGCTTAGCTCGCTTGTCCATTCAGCCAGCGGCACCACTTGGTGGCCCGGGTGGGTTCCATAGATGTGGGAATTGGGATGTGCTGCCTACCAAAAAAGATAGGCCCGCCGTTGCAACAATGATGGGTGAGGAGGGAGAGTCCGAGGAAGGTCGGGGGTTTTGGACGAGTGGACGAACGAGGGAATGGGGAGAGACACGACGGATGTTCGGGCCCAAGTTTCTGCACTGGAATGAGACATGTCGTTCGGTCTTGGGTTGCACAACGGCACGGGAACTGTTTATGGCTGAACTGGCGGGCCGGGGTACGTTGTGTGTGTGAGAACGAGTGAAAGCAAGGGTGAGAGAGACATAAGAGAGACACACGCCTCATGCTGTGCCGGGGGAAAATGAGTGTGATGATAGTGCAATATCGAACTGTGCAGAGTGTACGGAGTAGGGGCGGGAGAGGGAAGCTGGGCCAGGCTAGAGGATGCAAAGACCAGACATGATGAGAAGCGAGTGATGAGAAGGATTATTTTGGTATTGTTGTTGGTGGTGGTGGTGATGATGATGATGATGATGATGATGGTGTTGTTGATGTTGTGATGACAAAACTCAAGACATCCCTCAAAAACACGATGCGATTCGTCATATGCGAGTTCGTGAACACCGCCGCGTCTGTCTGCATCGTGGCCTGCGCCCCCAATCCCCTCATCTTCAGCTGCGCGGAAGGGGAAAACGCTCTCTTCAGCGGTTGGCAGCTATGCATATGCATGAGCATGAACGCAGATATGGACAGAAGGGATAGCTTGTGCCGCCCGCGCCTGTGCCTTGTGCCTGACGAAGGGTCTGGTGCCAGTACTGACTGGCCCCCAAGAGCGAATGAAGGTGATATTGGGAGCCGAGTGCATGAGGGTGTGGGGGCGAGGATGCGAGTTGGGGGCAGAGTGCCAGAGAGAGAGATTGAAGAGCCAGAGCCTGAGAGATGCTGAGTGTTGGTTGGACGGAAAGGAGGTGATGATTGTGAGCTGCTCTCCAGGGGGGGAGAGCCCGAAGCAGGCTGTTCTTTTCCCGGGTGCATGTCTCAGTGGACACTTCACTCTCACTCTCACTCGCTGTGTGTGTGTCTCGCTCACTCTCTCTCCGCGCCAGGTATGAGCCGCCGATGCTGCAGTTGGGCAACCACTCGGCGAGCCAACCTGCGTCGATGGGTACCTGAACGGCGGCCCCCAGCCGCGAGTCCCCGCTGCAGCTATACGGCGGAACTCATGCGGCTGCGGTTGGCGAGGTGAAGGTACCCTGAACTTGGGTCGGAGACTCATTGGAGGAAACGGATAGCTCTGCCCGGGGTCGGTCTGGGCCTTTCCACCAGGTAGCAGAAGGGCGAGCGGTGATGAGTGTGAGAACGGACGGGCAGAGAAACTCTCATCTCTCATGATTTCATCTCGTCTCATCTCACTCCAACGCTCAGGAAACCGGAAAGAAGGCGGAGAGAAGGCGCCCTCGACTCACCATTCTCGTCTCTTCCCTATGACCGGCCGAGCGCACTTTCATCCGTGTCCCTGACACTCTCCCGGCCACGTCTGTGCCTCTACACAGTAGGTAGGTATTCTGCCCAGGGCTGGGCCAATGGCCACGGGAAATAAGCCCGTGCAGAGCAGGGCCGAGGGGGAAAGAAACAAAATGAAGTAAAATAAAATAAAAACGGGCGCCGCAGTTCCGTCCTCAAATTTGAAGAGACGGCGTGTCTCTCGGCTCAAACTTCCTCGGCTGGGGGTAAGGGGGGCTGGCTGGCTGCGCTAAGTAAAGCAACGAGAGACTCGGCACTTGCGAATAAAGGAATGCTCATCGGGACGGCACATGGAAATGGCGGATTTTCGGGGTTGATAGAAAATGCTCGAGCAAAGGGCCGTGGAGAAGAAGATGATGTGCAAAGGGGGGCAAATTCGGGAACAGAACAGTCAGAAATAGAGAGCACCAGAGAAGACAAAGGGAAGTCTCGGAGAAAATCAGGTCCACAAAGAAATGAAGAACAAAAAAAACCACATAAATAGAATGTCTCTGCTCACCTTTCGCTGAATGGCTTCTGGCAACGCCTCGAATTCTTGCTTCGTCATCTGCGCCCCAAAGGGTCCCGACGACGTAGGCGATACCTGCGGAGGCGGCACAGCAATTGTTGCTGATCCGGTGGTATTGACCTTTGTCACCTTCGCTGGCATCGTCGCCGAGTTCGCGGCAGACACCGTCGTCGCCGTGGTCTTCTTGCTGCCGCTGCTATTGCTCTTCTCGTGGCTCTTGCTGCTCCTCAGTGTCCACGTCGTCGAGTTCGCGGTCGCAGTCGCGGTCGCGGTAGAGCCAGTGCCAGTGCCAGAGCGGGAACCCGACTCGGAGCTCGTCCGGGGAAAGTGAAAGTGCTGGTGGCTCCTCGATGAGTCGGGCCGTAAGTAGAGGTTATGATATGACGATGACGAAGGGGATTGTTTATGCTGTTGCTGGTTCGGTTGCTGTTGCTGGTGGTGCTGGAGCAGACGCAGATCGGGCGAGCTGTACCCGTCGAGTCCGTGATGCAAATAGTTCCAGAGGCCGTGAGACCGGTCCACGCTATCCTCGCTGGTCCGTCCACCGGCCGCCGTCTCCGCTGTTGCTACTGCTGTCTTCTTGCCATTGCTCCTAGCGGCGTTGTTGTCACCTCCCCCAATGCTGAGGAAGCTGTTGGTAATGGTCGTTGGCGCCATTGTCGCCGTTGTCGTTGTGATGGTTGATGCAGCCGATGTCGTCGTAAAAGTCAAATTTGTTATTGTTGTCGATGACGAGAAGCTCGAGCGTGCGGAAGAGTAGAATGAAGTATTATTACGGGTACTATTGAAAATAATGTCGGTGCTGGTGCTGGTTCTTGTTGATGAAAGATCTCTGTCGATCTCGTCTTCGTCGATCGGAAAGTGCGCAATGGGAGTGGAAGAAGGGAACGAGTTATTAGACGAGCAAAGGATAAACTCGTCTGCGTCCGTATCCGTGTCGTCAAGGAAACTTATGAGCTCATGGTCCACGCTGGCAACGCTGCCCATGTCCTTATCCATCGTTGCCGCCGCCCAGGGATGAGGGCGGTGCTGGCATAACTTGTCCTCCTCCTCCTCCTCCTCCATCTCCCCCGGTCCAAGCCTACCAGTCGATGGTGACAATCGTGATGGGTCCCACGGCAGCGCACCCATCGCACCAGGTACGCGCGCCGGGGCAGCGAGAGCAATGCCGGCAAAGGCCATCATTCGTCCATTTGCCCGCTTCTCTTGCTCTGCCCAGGACCTGGACGAGGTCGTCGATGACATCCACAGAGTTTCCCCCAATCGCCTTGGATCCTGCTGGCTTATCCCCAGCAGCGCAGTCATGGTTGCTAACTTTTGCTCCGCTGTGAGGCATCAAGTCACCAAGGTCCAACGAGATACTGCCGGATCTGGTATTGAGCTGACCTCACAAAGTCCGGGAGTCCCTGCCAGCTGATGGGGGCCTTGTGCCTGTGCCTGGGATGCGTGAGGGTCTTCCTCTTCCTGTTGGTTCCGGATCCACTGGGTGAAGAGGAACTAGGGAGCAGGGGAAGATGCAGCCGAACGGCGAATAGAGTGGTAGCGTAAAGGTAAGGTAAGGAAAAAGTATGGTTCAATCCACCAGCAGGGCTCCAGAGTCTGAGAGTACAACAGTCCAGAAAGAGGGTCACTCTAAGGGACCGGGGGGGGTGATACTCTCGAGAATGGTATTGTTAATGTTGATCACCAACACATTCGGGCATGACTTTGCAATAAAGGAAACATGAAGCATTGCCAATTTGGAGGTCCCGGGAAGGGTTCATCCTGTATTTAGATGTCAACATCACGGTTCGAGGACTTTGGCCAGAGACAGACAGCATCGAGGTGTCACCTACATCATATATCTCGTATCTCAATGGTTGCTGCTGACCCGGAACGCCCGTCTCTTGGTTGACGAGACAAGGACAGCACAGCAAATGAGCTTCCATAAGCTGCATGTAGCGAATTTCCTAAGCGCTTCGCGAAGCACACCAAACGCAATTTTAGTAACAACCGGAAAATCTTCAGCGGTTCTGCAGCTTGTTGAGGCGGCAGCCAGTCCGAGTAGATGAAATTCCTCGAGAGGGAGGGCCGCGCAGGTTTGTCATACGTTCGGGCTGTAGCACAACATTTCCGCTCGTCTGCATGTCTCGCCGTCCCGTGTCCCGAAGCAGTCAAGACCGTCGGTTCGTCAAGCTTTCACAATCATGCTATCGTACTGTGAAGACAGCGTGACGGCTTCATCTCCTTTCCCCAAGACTTCTAGTGTGGTCGTACATGGATGCCGCGCCCGCAAATTGCTAGCCCTTCATCTCACTCTTGCAGGAACACTCTGGTCTCGGTCTCTGTCGAGTAACGGAAGCAAAATCAAACCACACATCCATCTCGTGAGTCTGTGCTACCTCGTCACTCCCCCCCTCTCCCCCCCCTGCTTGTGTGCCTGAACATCATCATCCACCCCCAAATCGCACATCGTCCCATGTTCAGCCCCAATGCCGTGTCGCGGAGTCCAGCCAACCCTTCTCTATCTGTTTGTTCCGCGACGTCAAGTCCGGATGGTTTGCTCTCGCGTTCATCCTGGGAACTTTCTTTCTTCGGTGGGGGCGAATTGCAACCCTGGCAACACAGTAGACTCTCTGGAAAGTTACACAGCAAGTGTCGGGAGTCTCGAGAATGGGATAATGCCACCATGGGCGGCCCTGTTGTTTCCCTGCTGACGGGCGATCATTGGACATGGTCGTTTAGTCAGTCAACAGAGCCCTACAAGCATGAATACCCAAGGTGTAGCTCCACGGGACAGCGAAGAAACATAAGTTTAGAGAAAAGCATCGTTATTTTTGTTTCACGGTTTCACCGAAGTCGCGGAGGGGACAACCTTGGTTTGCTTAGCGGGAGCCGGAGCACTGATCAGCAAATGAACATCAGACTTAGAGGCTCAGCCGTTTTACGACTAGTTCGGGGAGCACAGAAAGTATTGCTTTTTTTTTTTTTCGTCTTCCACTCTCGCATCTCTTTCCCTGTCGCGAGATTAAGAAACCGGAGAAAAAAAACACACAGCAGAGAGCCTGCAATTTATTCGAGGCAAGCCTTGCGCGACGTTGAACACTCGAGCTAGTGAAGATGAGGGCTTAGGGGGAAAGCCCAGACCAGCCGCACTGCATGAGCCTACGGACGTACGAAGGCAAACTCTCGAGAGTCCGAGATGAACCGTCAGCAGAAGGCACCCTCGCGGCGTTCAGTCCAACAAGGCTGCGTGGCTGCTTGATTCTAGCCTTCTCTCTCGACTACCTATCGCGGCCCCCACACTACGAGCCGTTGAATGGCTGTGCCCCCCTTGCCGTGTCTCGTCACAATTGTCATCGTCAGCTTTCAGACGCTGCCTTTTCCGTCAGCAACGTCCAACGGCGGCCGGTGAGATTGATTGCTTTCATGGTGTTATCACATAGTGTGATTGTCAGCTATGAGCGCTTAAAGAATTCATGCTCGACGCGACTGTGCGAGTAGGCATTGCGCGTTGCTGTTATAGAGCCCGCATGATATGGAGTGATATGACGAGGTCCATGGAGAAGGGCCCAAGGGGGAAGCAAGAAAGCAACCCTACTCCATGGGGAGGGTTCCTCCGGGAAATACGGACGCAATGGAACCTTCCCTTTCTCTCCTGCGTACCGATCGGCATCTCGTTCTGGGGCTCTGAGGTCACAGTCACACCGACATGCCGGGCACGAATCCACGAGCGGGTGGGCTCAGGAGCCACAGAGAACTGGAGTCTGGAGGGATACAAAATTTGCGAGTTGCAACAAAGAATGTGCGCCCCTATTTCCACCGTCCGACGGAATTCGGCATTCCAGCAACGATGGCAGAGACTCGAGAGCGGTCATGACGACGCCAGCCTTGCCGGTTGCACCCCTTGGGCCCTTGAACAAGCAATTCGTACGATAGTTTCATTGCCGGTGCAACCCCATCCGTGAGTCGCTTGGCTCTTCCGCCTGTGCGATCCCCGATTCCACTTTTCCCGTCAACTGAACGCCTCCATTCTGGCTCATGAATCGTCCCTTCTTTTCTTGGTCTTTTTTGCCTTTGTCCTGCCGTTGAGTACCTATTGACTCGAGGGGCTTCATGGGACGAAATAGGATAACTATATCGCAGATCTTATGGCTTTGGCTCGTCCCAAAAGGGACACGGCCAGAAGCAAACCGGACGAACCGTTGAAAGCCCCACGCCTAAGGTGAAAGTGGGAATACTCTGTATACCAAATGGGATAGCATAAAGTTGCTGGAGCCCACTGGTATGCAAATTGGCCGCGAACCCTTTAGAAAAACACATCCGATCAGGGACACGACGAAAACTCCACGTCTGCTACGACGCCGATTCCCGAAACAGTGGAGGCCCGTGATTAGCTTTTATGCAGCTACGAGCATCCCCTCGTCTTCCAGCTCTCTGGTGACAGACTTATCTCGAGTATCGTCAATCTTTGCACATCATCGTCATCGGTGCAAAACCCTATGCCTTCCTGGCATTTCAACGTGAACAGAGAGATCCAGGGTCGTCGCGAGCTTAATTTGGAGGGGTTTTCACGTCAGCTCTCAAGCTGGTTTCCCTATCGTTGAAACACCAATTTACAACCTGGCCCTGGGGTTCATAAAGGCCACGCACGACTCGGATTGTGAAGATTTGGCGGGGACCCCTCGGCCGAAAACGAGTCAACGTCTCCTTGTCCACTGGCAATTTATCTCCTTTTTCTTCCCGTTTCTGGAATCCTTTTCCCGCCCTTTCTTTTGCAGCCATTGCCCCGTATGAGTGTTCGTATAGTGTACTACGTTTCTCCATATGTCGTCTCTCGGGTCCATCCTTTGAAAGACACGTTATCGCCTTCACCATGATCTAGAAACACGAAAAAAATCAAAACATCGCTCTATTCCTCGCCCATGTTTCCGCCCGCAAGAGAGCCGAAAGACCCGATGGGGCCCCTTCCTGTCCTCATCCCAGCTCTCTTCTTGTTCTTCCTCCTCCACAGCGCTAAACCCCCAGAGAATCGCGGGACCTGTTCGCGTCCTGGGTCTCCGTTTCAGCATATAATTGTCGATGATTGGATTACTAGGCTATTCGTATCATCGACGACCGGAGCCTCATCTATCCATGGCTGGCCTCCCTCCGCCCCTGCAGAAAGCCTTAGCGTGAAGGGGAAACGAGAGGCGAGTCTGGAACCCAGCGACGAAACGCTTGACCGCTTTCGTGGTCGAAGGCTGTCTGTTCATCAACTGTTGATCCAACGACAGAAGAACTGACAAAGATTCGCAATGTCCACACCGCAGGTTCGGCATCTTCCAGGAAACCCACTCTAACGATCATGTCAACTCCTATGAAGTTCTGATCGATTGGAAATCGATTCGAAGAGAATCGATTCCCCTTCCCCCTCTGTTGCCCACCCGTTCCGCTATTTTCTCCAACTTCGGGTCTCCCGCACCGACGGAATGCCCGAGGGCAGGGCCTCACCGCATGCCCTCGCTTGTCGATGAAGCCCGAAAACAAGCAAACATGCCCTCGCTGTCAAGCAGGGTCCTTCAAACATGGTCTTCGGCACAACTTGGTTGATATTCTAGTTCCCTGGCCTAGTATGGTCGAGGGAGGAGTGTTCCTTGATGTTTGTGTGTGACGTGTCTGTGCCGGCGGGCTTCTCGAAGCCCGGCTAAATGCTTCTTCTACACAGCTTCTTCCCTGCGTGCCTGCCTGCAGACGTGTTTCTTTGCTTCTTCATACCTGTTACGCCGCAGGCGGCACGTTTCGCGACTCTGACACAAAAAGGAATTGCGCAACGGGGAGCAATCTTCACCGCCGACTCTCGTTTCTCACGGGCTGTCCTGTCGAAGTTTGTTCTGTGAGTACGTAAGAGTGAGAACCTGTCTTGAGCGAGTGTTGCCCGTCCACAAGGTCCCTTGACATACCGCGTCGAGATTTACGGAGTACACGAAGGTAATGAGCGCTTGACTCGCACTCGTCTCTGTCGTCTGTACGAATACCCTCCCGTCTGCTCGCAGAAAGAAAGCAATCAATAGCGAGTCATTGTATTGTTGATCGTACGAGGGCTTGAGCGCAGCTTCAGCCCTTTTTTATTGGAATAAGCTTCTCTCCGTTCCTAAAAGAGGCACCATTCGTTCCAAAAGGGCAATTGGGGTTCCCTTTCCTGTGGATTCGGAATATTGAAGTCAAAAAGTGCCCGCTGCTCTATCCTTCGAGATGGATAGAAACGCAATTTTGAAGAGGTGAAGTTATCGAGGAAACCGAGTCAAGTCTTGATGTGGCTTGCAATCTTCCCACCACCCCCAGTTGTCAAGCCACTCTCCAACGAAACGATCGGGATCTTTTCTGCTTCCCGCCTCCTTCTTAGCTCGCCGCCACGCGCCGACATTGCCTTCTTCGTCTCCCGAGATGCATGCGACTGGTCCATTTTGCTCAACGGCCAAGTTCTCGCCTAACTGTTGCAGCCAGAAAAGAGTCCAGACACTGATAAAGATCTAACGAAGCACATCGGCAAACCGGCAAAGAAACACGTTTGTGGCCCTCGCACAGAGCTCAAGTCCTAGATTGGTGGCGCGTGTGTGTCGTGTAATTCCCAATCCACAAGCATAGTACTTTGTGCAATGGCCTCCCCATCACGCACCACCATTATGAACAAAGCGCGAGCTTCCAGAACTATGCCAATGCAACGTCGCTAAGAAGGAAGAAAAAAAAAAGTGATGAGTGAAGACTGAGAAAAGCCAATCTTAACCTCATCTCAGCCATAAATCCCGCCTTTCCCATAGCCTCCGACAATGTTACACCAGATATGGGAACAAATCTTTTTTTGGTACGGAGTACCGCTGGCGAACCACGAAAACCAATCTGCTGGGAAACGAGGAGACGGAAATAATGTCAGGTGAGAAAAGACCCGAGAGAAATCTCATTTCGCGGTTCCCTCCTTCACGATTGCGACTTTGGGAGTGGGCTACGGTCAGTCACACGCGACACGACCAGACGTTATTATCTGCAAGACACCCCCCGGTCGACCAACGAAATTGCATTATTCCGTTCACTTCAAAATCCAATTCCGGGCCCAGTGGGATGGAAGAGCTGCACGTCATTCGTTGACGTTGTCTCTGTATGTCTCTCGGTCTGTCATCGTGTGGGCTGCTCTCGAGCGTCAAGAATGCAGCCGGAGAGGAGGTGGCATGCCAGCGGATTGTTTCGTTGGCTACCCGTACATGCAGGCAGCAAACATGGCAAAGGTGCTTGCTATCGAGAGACAGCCTCATTCTTCGAGGTGCGTTGGAAGTTCTCGAGACGTGTGAATATCGCGGCAAACGGTAATAACTACGTAGTGCTGCTCCTCCAATATGACTCTTGCTCCTTCTCTCAAACTGCTCGCTTCCTTTAGCAACAGCTCTAGACAAAAGAGAGATTATATCCCATCCCGCCTGCCGTGCCATTTTTTCCTGCTCTTCTGGCCATCTGATATGAAGTCGCAACACCTTACCCCTCTTTCATCACACCGATTACCCATCGTAGCGTTGAGGCTGCAGGACAAACCAACAGCATATGCCAAACGTCCCATTGGGAAATCTTACCTTGGCAACCTCCAGCATCCAAACAACAGCTTAGACTGAGGGTGTGTTAGACTCTTGACAAGCAAACATACATCTTTTCCTCCCTCTCGGCTCCTCTCTTTCTCTCTCTCCTCTCCAGACACTGTGTCCGGCTCACCTCATGCCATGCTGGAAGAGCGCAAGATACAGTTGTCATCGCACCGGACCGTTCCATTCTACACAGGAGCAAAACGTCCGCATGGAACGATATCGAGGTTTCACAACATGAGACTATCAGATCAGCTCTGGGCATTCTCATCTTTATATATAGACAGACGTATGAGATAGTTCAAACCTCTCCCATCAAGGAAAATTCCCATCTCTCCATGGTCGCCATAGTACTGCCCAACCGTCAAACTCCGTCTCTCGTCACACACCGTGACCACACTGGCCTTACATAAGCCCACACGCGGTCTGCAACCAATCGCCGGCTTCATTGGAACTACAACCAACGACGGCAGTTACCAAGCCATGCAGTTCAAGACTAGAACGGTTGTTGGGCCTGACGCCGGGGTTTGATACGTATTATGGACAAGGAAGGGAACGCCTCAAGTCTCGCCAGGTCTGCAAAGGCCCCTCATCCGTAACCCGTGTATGCAACGCAAGAAGAACTTCCCCTCTCCCAATAGAATAAGATATCGTTTC